CAACGCCAGAAAGCATCAACAGAAACAACGCCTGAAAACATCAACAGAAACAACGCCTGAAAACAAACAGAAACAACGCCTGAAAACAAACAGAAACAACGCCTGAAAACAAACAGAAACAACGCCAGAAAGCATCAACAGAAACAACGCCTGAAAACAAACAGAAACAACGCCTGAAAACAAACAGAAACAACGCCTGAAAACAAACAGAAACAACGCCAGAAAGCATCAACAGAAACAACGCCTGAAAACATCAACAGAAACAACGCCTGAAAACAAACAGAAACAACGCCTGAAAACAAACAGAAACAACGCCTGAAAACAAACAGAAACAACGCCTGAAAACAAACAGAAACAACGCCTGAAAACAAACAGAACAACGCCTGAAAACAAACAGAAACAACGCCTGAAAACAAACAGAACAACGCCTGAAAACAAACAGAAACAACGCCTGAAAACATCAACAGAAACAACGCCAGGAAACAACACCAGGAAACAACATCAACAGAAACTCAGGCAACAGTAGCAACATCAATAACATCAAACACAAAAGCTTCACTTTCCGAACACTGACCTTCCATCTCGGCAGGTGAGGAATTATTGAGTGCAGGAGCGACCTTTGTTGGCGCGGGAGAGTGCCCTCCACTCGTGTCTGATGCCTCTCCTCATTCCTAATTCATCTCATCATGCTAGTGTAGCCTCTCCTCATTCCTGATGCCTCTCATCATGTTGGTATGACCTCTCCTCATACCTAAAGTCTCTCATCATGCTAGTGTAGCCTCTCCTCATTCCTGATGCCTCTCATCATGTTGGTATGACCTCTCCTCATACCTAAAGTCTTTCATCATGCTAGTGTAGCCTCTCCTCATTCCCGATGCCTCACATCATGTTGGTATGATCTCTCCTCATACCTAAAGTCTCTCATCATGCTAGTGTAGCCTCTCCTCATTCCTGATGCCTCTCATCATGTTGGTATGACCTCTCCTCATACCTAAAGTCTTTCATCATGCTGGTGTTGCATTGGTATCAGGGTTTCGTGGGTCTAGAGTGGCGGTCGGACATTGGTATCAGGGTTCCAAGGGTCTAGAGTTGCAGTCGGACATTGGTATCAGAGTTCCGAGGGTTTAGAGTGGCGGTCGGACATTGGTATCAGGGTTTCGTGGATCTAGAGTGGCAGTCGGACATTGGTATCAGGGTTTCGTGGATCTAGAGTGGTGGTCGGACATTGGTATCAGGGTTTCATGGATCTAGAGTGGCAGTCGGACATTGGTATCAGGGTTTCGTGGATCTAGAGTGGTGGTCGGACATTGGTATCAGGGTTCCAAGGGTCTAGAGTGGTGGTCGGACATTGGTATCAGGGTTCCAAGGGTCTAGAGTGGCGGTCGGACATTGGTGTCAGGGTTCCAAGGGTCTAGAGTGGTGGTCGGACATTGGTATCAGGGTTCCAAGGGTCTAGAGTGGTGGTCGGACATTGGTATCAGGGTTCCAAGGGTCTAGAGTGGCGGTCGGACATTGGTATCAGGGTTCCAAGGGTCTAGAGTGGCGGTCGGACATTGGTATCAGGGTTCCAAGGGTCTAGAGTGGCGGTCGGACATTGGTATCAGGGTTCCAAGGGTCTAGAGTGGCGGTCGGACATTGGTATCAGGGTTCCAAGGGTCTAGAGTGGTGGTCGGACATTGGTATCAGGGTTCCAAGGGTCTAGAGTGGCGGTCGGACATTGGTATCAGGGTTCCAAGGGTCTAGAGTGGCAGTCGGACATTGGTATCAGGGTTCCAAGGGTCTAGAGCGGTTGTCGGACATTGGTATCAGGGTTCCAAGGGTCTAGAGTGGCGGTCGGACATTGGTATCAGGGTTCCAATTGGTTCCAGGGTCTAGAGTGGCGGTCGGACATTGGTATCAGGGTTCCAAGGGTCTAGAGTGGACATTGGTATCAGGGTTCCAAGGGTCTAGAGTGGCGGTCGGACATTGGTATCAGGTTCCAAGGGTCTAGAGGGCAGTCGGACATTGGTATCAGGGTTCCAAGGGTCTAGAGTTCAGGACATTGGTATCAGGGTTCCAAGGGTTGAGTTCCAAGGGTCTAGAGTGACAACCTCAGACTAAAGAATACAGTTCATCACTTACTACAAAACAAAAAGAACTGGTGATTTAACACTTAAGAACAGCCCAATAGACAATACAACCAAAAAGCAAATGTTGTATACCATTTACATGCCCCAATAAAGGTCTACTTCTATTGGTATGACCAATAGAAGCTTTCAAGAAGACTGAATTGCCTAGTTTAACACAAATCCTATCCTAGTATCCTATCCTATCCTAGTATCCTAGTGTAACACAAAACACACTAGGATAATGCAAGTAGATAATACAACAATCCTGGCATCCCCCGGCACTGACTAGAGAAAACTGCAAATCCTAGAAGCTATGAACGTAACAGAAAAAAAGACCCAACCCTAAACATACTGAGTAACGACTTTGATACCTTGCCTACGCTCAGACCCAGACCTCACAAAACAGCACAGGATAACGACGACAATTTTCATTCCTCTACTTATGTTTGATTACTCTTATATATATATATTCGCCTCTTAAACTCTCGCTACACAACTTCACCTCTTCCACATGAGTATTTCAGACAAAATTGCACCTTGTGTATTCACTGCTTATTCGAATTAGTTCCAGCTAGTGGAACAAAGCATTGTAGAAAATAAACCTTTCAATACTTTCTGTACCATAAATTTTGGTATCTTGATTGCTCTTCTTAATCCCGAGAGTAAGAATATAGTTAGGAACATTTAAAGCTTATAATATAAGATCAACAACGCCAGCAATGCGGTTATATTTAATCAAATAAATAAATATATGTCACGTAAATCCCCTGCATAGCAGTGGAACTGCCCCTGCCTCTCATCTTCAAAGTCCTTACACTTGAATGCCATCTCTACGACAGCAAAAACCAGTCATTCGACGGATACTCCAACTGTCACTCTCCAACCTATTATAGGTATAGGTTAAGTAATAATTGTAATTACGAAGCAATAAGATGCTTATCTTAACATACTAAGAAGGTTAGGTAAGGTCGGTGTTTCTATGAAACTTTTCAAGGTAAACTAGTATGTTTAGTATGTCACATATACACGTATTTAATAAGTCAATATTGACTGTAAGAAAGTGCGAGAACGGGTTGCACTCTCCACCACCTCGTACCAGGTACTAACGACAGGTACGCTCGCCGGTGGGTAGTGCCGCTACTAACTAGCAGTTAGCCACCTCTACCAAGCAGTTTGCCGCCTCTAACTAGCAATTAGCCACCTCTATCAAGCAGTTTGCTCCCTCTAACTAGCAATTAGCCACCTCTATCAAGCAGTTTGCTGCCTCTAACTAGCAGTTAACCACCTTCAGCTAGCTGTTGTGCAGCCACTAACTAGCAGTTAACGCCAGTCGCTCGTTCCTGACCTCATTGACACAAGACGTGACATCATCACCAGCGGGGGTATAAATAGAGCGCCCTGCACCCACTGAAGTCTCCTCTCCACACGGGAGACATCTCCCGTCACGCAGGGTGCAGTCGCACCTCCACAGATCTCCAGTATCATCTATTGATACTGGTGATGGCTCAAAAGGGCCACCACTTACGGGCTATTCATGCCCGTGCCACCTTTTGGGTGGCTTAATCCTCATCAATCAATCACCCACTGAAGTCAGTCTTCTGTGTGTTCTGGTACAGTCGTTACTGCTCCTTCACTCGTCGTCTGTTCACTCTAACAACGTGTGTTAGGTGATTGATTGATTGATTGATGAAGATTAAGCCACCCAAGAGGTGGCACGGGCATGAATAGCCCGTAAGAGGTGGCCCTTTCGAGCCATTACCAGTATCAAAAGATGATACTGGAGATCTGTGGAGGTGCGACTGCACCCTGCGTGATGGGAGATGGCTCCCGGACGTGTGTTAGGTGGTTCATGGTGGTTCATATAGTCAACTCACCAGTATTTTACTATCTTGAGATCTTGAAATGATTTCGGGACTTAGTATCCCCGCGGCCCGGTCTTCGACCAGGCCTCCATTCCCAAGAAGCAGCCCGTGACAGCTGACTAACTCCCAGCTACCTATTTACTGCTAGGTAACAGGGGGCATCAGGGTGAAAGAAACTCTGGCTATTGTTTCTCGCCGGCGCCCGGGATCGAACCCGGGACCAGAGGATCACGCGTCCAGTGTTCTAGTCCGCTCGGCCGCCGGCTCCTTACTAACATCAAGTTTTCCATATTCACAGTTTTCAGTTCTTGTATATTAGCCAAGTGTATCCAGGTACCATTTTTGTTTATTAATATTATAATAAATTTTGTTAATTGTTCATCTGTTGTTTTACTGTTTCTTCCTGCGACATATACATTGCAAGAGGCCAAAGCAAAACTTTTTATTTCATGAGAGTGAGAGCCACATTAGCGGTGAGCAGCAGTGGCCTTTTTGGGCACAATTATTTCACCAAATCACCTCATATGAGGTGATTTGTCTCCGTGGTGTAGTGGTAAGACACTCGCCTGGCGTTCCGCGAGCGCTTTGTCATGGGTTCGTATCCTGGCCGGGGAGGATTCACTGGGCGCAAATCCTTAACTGTAGCCTCTGTTTAACGCAACAGTAAAATGTGTACTTGGTTGTAACAACGATTCTTCGCGGCGGGGATCGTATTCAGGGACCTGCCCGAAACGCTACGCGTACTAGCGGCTGTACAAGAATGTAACAACTCTTGTATATATCTCAAAAAAAAAAAAAAAATTGAGAGGGGTTTTGCGGGGGCAGGCAGGTGCAGGGGGACGTTTGGGAAGGCAGGAGTGGAGATCGGTCCGTCTGTGAGGGGACGCAAGTCATGGTGAGGTATTGACAGAGTCTCTATACACCCTCCTTCCTCCTCTCTCTCCACATATACCCCTTGTGTGTGTAGGGGGGGGGGGGGTGGAGGGGACGGGATAGTACTCCTGAAACGCACTTCCCAAGATCACCACAGCGACGGACTCTTCAAGATCACCACAGCGACGATCTCTTCAAGATCATCACAGCGACGAACTCTTCAAGATCACCACAGCGCTCGGACTCTTCAAGATCATCACAGCGCTCGGACTCTTCAAGATCACCACAGCGACGATCGGACTCTTCAAGATCACCACAGCGACGAACTCTTCAAGATCACCACAGCGACGATCGGACTCTTCAAGATCACCACAGCCACGGACTCTCAAGATCACCACAGCGTTCGGACTCTTCAAGATCACCACAGCGACGATCGGACTCTTCAAGATCACCACAGCGACGATCGGACTCTTCAAGATCACCACAGCGCTCGGACTCTTCAAGATCACCACAGCGACGCTCGGACTCTTCAAGATCCCCACAGCGACGATCGGACTCTTCAAGATCACCACAGCGCTCGGACTCTTCAAGATCACCACAGCGACGGACTCTTCAAGATCATCACAGCGCTCGGACTCTTCAAGATCACCACAGCGACGCTCGGACTCTTCAAGATCACCACAGCGACGGACTCTTCAAGATCACCGAGACCAACTCCCAGATGATGACGACAACCAGAGGTGAACCTTAAATTCGACCGAAATTCTCTACTTAAGCTGCATGTTTGCGTGCAGGTCAACCGCCACATTGAGATTACACACACGCGCGTGCGGTCACACATAAATACACACACACACACACATGCACATACATATACATACAAATAGTGGGCAGGCGGCGTTACTTAGGTCTATATCTGTTCATCTATCTACCTTCTATCTATCTGTGCCTTTTATCCGTCAATGTATCTATCCATCTATCCCTCTGCTAATTTGGGTGAGACTAGCCCCAAGCCTGGGCCTCCAACTTTCAATAATATATATGAAGAAGCACAAACACGCATACAAACGCAGGTTTGCAATCACATAGTCACACAATCACATAGTCACACAAACAATCACAAACACCCACCGGGATGCAACTACATGAGAGAGAGAATTATCAGGGGGAAAGCGCCAAGCCATTATGACTATATAGCACTGGGAAGGGGTCAGGATAAGGATGTGGGATGGGACTGGGGGAAGGAATGGTGCCCAACCACTTGTGGACAGTCGGGGATTCAACGCCAACCTGCATGAAGCGAGACCGTCGCTCTACCGTCCACCTCAAGTGGTTGGACAGCAATCGCATAAATACACAATTCCTTAAAAACAAAACACAAATGCATAAAAAAAACACAAATAAAAGTTCTGCTGGGACAAATAGATGACCCACACACACACTCACACACACACACACACACACACACACACACACACACACACACACACACACACACACACACACACACACACACACACACACACACACACACACACACACACACACACACTCACACTCACACTCACACACACACACTCACACACATACACTCACAACAGGTACCATAACAATTGGAGGACAAAAATTTATAGTCGTAGTCATATATAACCCACCACCAAATGACAGAAGACCCAGACAGGAATATGATAGAAACAACATGGCCACCATCAATATAATAGAGAGAGCAGCCTCTGTGGCTAGCAGGAACGGATCCAGACTACTAATCATGAGAGACTTCAACCACAGGAAAATATATTGGGAGAACATAAACTCACATGGAAGACCAGACACATGGAGAGCTAAGCTGCTGGACGTGGCAACAAGAAACTTTAAAAGCCAACACATCAAGGAACCGACAAGAATGAGAGGAGAAGATGAACCAGCTATGTTTGATCTGATATTCACCCTTGTCGGATATAAGGGAAGTTAAGTTGGAAGCCCCCTTGGGAATGAATGATCACAGTGTACTGATCTTTGAGTACCTGGTAGAGCTAGGAATTATCTCCCCCCCCCCAAAAAAAAAAGAACTAGAAAACAAGGGGCTTGCATAGCAAAAGGCAAATTATGAGATGAGAAAATTCCTAATGAATATACCATAGGGACACAGAACTCAGAGCTATGTCCGTACAAGTCATGATGGACTATGTCACCCAAAAGTGTCAAGAGACAGTACACAGGTTTATCCCGGCCCAAAAGGAAAAAAAGGCTGAGAAGCAAAAGAAGAATCCATGGTTTAATAGGGCATGTATGGAAGCAAAGGAACTGAATAAAAGGTCGTGGAGAAACTTCCGGAATAACAGAACACTAGAAAGCAGAGAGATACCAGAGAACCAGGAATGAGTATGTCAGTGTGAGAAGAGAAGCAGAGAAAAAGTATGAAAATGATATAGGAGGTAAAGCCAAGACCGAACCAAAGCTGCTCCATCATCACATCAGGAGGAAAAAACTGTGAAAGAACAGGCGATGAAACTTAGAATGGGTGAGGACAGGTTCACAGAGAATGACAGAGAGGTGTGTGAAGAACTCAAGAAGAGATTCCAGGAGGTCTTTACAATAGAACGAGGTGAAGTCCCTGTGCTAGAAGAGGTGGCAGTAAACCAGGCAGCCTTGGAAGGGTTTGAAATTACCAGAGATGAGGTTAAGAGGCACCTGTTGGCTCTGGACGTGAGAAAGGCTGTTGATCCGGATGGAATCTCACCATGGGTCGGGAGTCAGTACATTAGTCAACCGATGGTTACAAAGGCAGGGTCCAAGAGCACGGATTAAAACACTAATCACGACCTCTACCATGAGGTCGTTTAGAGGCTGTATAGAAGTGTATAGAGGCCTCCTCTATACACTTATCACGACTCTGTCTCCAACCAATACACTCTGTAAGGAATCGGTGTCCTCAGAGCTCTCTTGGACAGGATGCCAGGGGCCAGATTCACGAAAGCACTTACGAACCTGTACATCTTTTCTCAATCTTTGGCGGCTTTGTTTACAATTATTAAACAGTTAATGAACTCCGAAGCACCAGGAGGCTGTTTATAACAATAACAACAGTTGAATGGGAAGTTTTCATGCTTGTAAACTGTTTAATAAGTGTAACCAAAGCCGTCAAAGATTGAGGAAAGATGTACACGTTCGTAAGTGCTTTCGTGAATCTGGCTCCAGTACATCAAAGACGACCTTACAATGGGCAGCTCACACCTGGGATGACACACACACACACACACAGAGTTGACGAGCTTACAAATATAGCCGTCATCGCCGGCCAAATGTTCAGAATGGACAGTTGGTGGCCTCGAACGGTTGTTCACCTCAGGCTGAACAACGACGATAGTCCCAATTATTGGTACGTCTGCGTTGACAAGTGTATTTGGTGACTGCACCGCGCGAATAGGCTTTGCCCGAATTATCGAGATGCGCTGCACTAGGTGATTGAATGTGTGTGTGTGTGTGTGTGTGTGTGTGTGTGTGTGTGTGTGTGTGTGTGTGTGTTACTAGTTGTGTTTTTACGGGGGTTGAGCTTTGCTCTTTCGGCCCGCCTCTCAACTGTCAATCAACTGTTTACTAACTACTTTTTTTTTTGTTTTTGTTTTTTTCCCACACCACACACACACACCCCACAGGAAGCAGCCCGTGACAGCTGACTAACTCCCAGGTACCTATTTACTGCTAGGTAACAGGGGCACTTAGGGTGAAAGAAACTTTGCCCATTTGTTTCTGCCTCGTGCGGGAATCGAACCCGCGCCACAGAATTACGAGTCCTGCGCGCTATCCACCAGGCTACGAGGCCCCCCGTATGTGTGTGTGTGTGTGTGTGTGTGTGTGTGTGTGTGTGTGTGTGTGTGTGTATGTAATTACCTAAGTGTAGTTACAGGATGAGAGCTACGCTCGTGGTGTCCCGTCTTCCTAGCACTCTTTGTCATATAATGCTTTGAAATTACTGACTGTTTTGGCCTCCACCAATGTGTGTGTGTGTGTGTGTGTGTGTGTGTGTGTGTGTGTGTGTGTGTGTGTGTGTGTGTGTGTGTGTGTGTGTGTGTACTCACCTATTTGGGCTTGCAGGATCGAGCATTGGCTCTTGAATCCCGCCTTTCTAGCCATCGATTGTTTACAGCAATGACTTCTGTCCCAATGACTCCTGTGTGCGTGTGTGTGAGCGCGCCTGCGCAGTGATCTCGTAGCATTTTTGAGTGTTGGCTCTGCTTGTGTTACTGATAAAGTAGCGTGTTTGTACACTACATGACTTTTGAGTTGGAATTCTCAACCGTAATAAGTTTTATATACTATAAATATTTGAATATTTCCAGAAACAGCGGCCGTTATGGTATTGGTTCGGTCCCCGGTGAGTGACGCATTTACACACACACACACACACACACACACACACACACACACACACACACACACACACACACACACACACACACACACACACACGTGTTGCACTCTGTTTGTGCTACTTCCTCGCCAATTATTGACAAATGCACAAATAAGAGACTGTGTTTGTCCCTGGTGTAGGTTATGGTTTGTGTTCCGACCGTGAGAGACGGCGTGCAACACTTGCCAGGTGCTCCTTGTGTTGCCTGCACGCTCCTGCAGGGAGCTGGTGCTTGAGTTGCCTGCACTCTCTTACAGGGAGGAGCTGAGCTCTTCCTTTGACTTCTAGGTTGTGTTGCCTGAACGCTGCGGTCACGTGTGGGTTGGTCTCTTGTGTTACACAAGATTTTTACGATGCGGTAAACGAAGTTTGGTCACAGCCGAAAGATCAAGGGTTCGATTCCCACGGCGGTACAGAGGCGATTGGGTAATGTTTCCTGTCATTTGATTCCTTTGTTCACCTAGCAGTAAGGAATTAACAAGGGAATTGGGTAACCGCTGTAGCTTGCATACACGTTAGTGCTATCTGTCTGTAAGTTTTTGCCTCTGTCTTATTTCCTCCTTTATCGAGTGGTGCTATCTCTGCTGTTCTTAGTGAGGGATAACGCTAGTATCTAGGCTTTGTCTCCAAGGCATGTGAAGGGCCTGGGATAGTGTTTTTTTTACAGTTCTTGATGCATACTCTGGATTCTGTGATCTGGGAGGATTATATCATTGTTATTCCTATTGATAAAGGTTGCAATCGATGATGCAAATCGACTGTGCCATACTGCAACAATGCAACCTCTTCTGAGGTTCCCATCTACGTTCCTTAGCCATACACCAAGACACTTGTAGCTGTAGACAACTGTAGACGACTGTAGACAGCTTTCCCTTCACAATCAACACACATTCCTCACACTCTCCCCCATGTTGTTGTAGATTCAGCTACTCAGAACATGTTTCAAGTAGCACGGGCTATGGTGAGCCCGTAGTGGACTTACCTGGCACAGGAGTGGTGATTCTCCCCCAGGTACACTTCCCTTAAAGGCTGACACGTGAGTGTGAGGAAACAACTCTACAAGGAGTCCGTCGTTGTCCCAATCACTCTAATTGGACACTTACTCTCCCTCTGTTTTTATTAAATAAGACAGTGTCCTATATACTGATAACAGAGGGAGCAGATAACAGCTTCAGAAGAGCTGTTGGACACACACACACACACACGTGTCCCTCCAGAGGATACACGTGTCCACTCCAGTAGAACTGTTGGACATACACACGTGTCCACTCCAGTAGAACTGTTGGACACACACACACGTGTCCACTCCAGTAGAGCTGTTGGACACACAGACACGTGTC